CTTACGAAGAGTTGCCTGAAAATGTGTCAGAGTTCGTGAAAGTGTTATCTGAAAGGATGGATGATATTCACCATCAAGTGCATTCAAAGTTGAAAACGTCTGATGATTCCATGAAGCTATGTTATGATAAGAGATATACTGAAGTCAGCTTTGTACCAGGAGACAAGGTGTGGTTGTATAATCCCAGGAAGACCAAAGGGAAGTCTCCTAAGTTGTCTTCTCCATGGGAAAACCCATATGACATAGTGGATAGTCTCTCAGACGTGACTTTCCGAATAAAATGTGGTCGGCGAGGTAAACCAAAGGTGGTGCATGCCAACAGGCTTTGGCATTATCATGGTCCGGGACATTTCACTTGGAACGAAATGAATAACAGAACAAATGACGTTGCTGAAGACGTCACCTGAAAAAGCCACTGTTGGAGAAGAAACTCTACCCAGTTTCGAGAAGGAAAACAGTGAAGCCGTTAATGAAGTTACTACCACTAATGTGACTGCTACCAATAATGAGACATTTCCTGATGGAGCAGATGAATCCCACGTGAAGCAGAACCCAATGAGATGGAGACCATTAAGAAAGAAGAAAAATCCTGTAAAATTAAGAGACTTTGTTGTATTTTAATTTTGTGTTTGTAAATTCTGTACATTTAGTTAAGTTATTGTTAATTATCTATTGGTTTAATGTAAGTGGCTATTGTTCGAGATGAACAATACTAAGGAAGGGGCAGTGTTACAACAGTGGAAGTCACGTGACCCTGCTGGCGTTGGCACTGTTAGCGTGCGTGATGAGTTTCTCAAATGATCAGGGAAGTCCAATTGTGATCGAGATGCCCTCTTCGTTAGTATATAAGCCTGTTAGAGAAAGCCATCAGGAATGAATGAAGAGAGAGCAGTAGTTAATTTAAGTTCCATGTAATTTATGATTCTGTTAGTTTCAAGCTATTGAGCTGTAAAGTGTGTGTTTTACACTTGTCGAGATTGAAGTTATTGAGATTGTGAACTGCTGTGATTTATAGCGTGTATTATAAAAGTTGGTAAGTTTTAAGTAACGAGAAACGTACTGATTGTGTACTAAAAGTTTGTATCGAGGAAGAATAAACTGGTTTAATCAAGAAAGGGCTTATATCGCTGAAGATCTTCGAAAAGAATTTCTACCAGAAACAAACAAACAAGCAGATACGTAGCAGTATATAAGGTGAGAGAACTCCCAACTAACTTGTACAAGTGTGTGTATCACCTTTACAAGTTTAAGGAGATAGACACAGGTTTCAGATTGTACAAGTTTACAAGGAATAATCATTGTAATGTGTAATCTTTACTTAAGTAAGAGGATTAGTGCAAGTTTACTGCTTTGTACATTTGGCTTACAAGGGTGACACTAACTATATTTGGAACAACTACTTGAACTCTTAGAAAAACTATCTGAATATATCTAAACTAAGATGTATTTCATACTACAGTAGCTAAGGAAGAGTAAATATCACCACAGATGAAATACATTTGAAAGCTGATTTAAATTAATATACAATAAACACTTTTCTTATGAAGAAATTCGTGAAAAGAAAGATTAATTTTGTTCTTTCAACTATTTTAGTGTAGTTACTCTAAGCTTCTATAAATTACCTCTAACTGTTATGTTTATAATTTGGTTTTCTTTTATTTCCGGAGTGTTGTTGTGCCATGCCAAACATTCATAGATTCCACTGTTGTTTATGCTGATATTATGGAAGACCAAAGTTAAGGAAAGAGAATATGGATTGCTAACAAAATACTGTGAAATACCTGAAATTAGATATGATAATATTATAAAAAAGGCAAAGATGCATAAAAAGATATTGAAATAATGGATTATAACACTGAAAGAAAATTATTATCATTCTTCTAGCATGCTTCCTGTTTAAGTCATCATTATAGAAAATTAAGAACTTCAATTATAGCTTTGAAAGAATTTGGCATACTAATCAATAAGTTCAATCTTCTCACCAAGAAGAACTCAGGGTAATAAAAAAAATTAACTATTTAACATTAACAACATTGTAATTAATAGCTGAATTCCTATAATACATAACTTAAAACATTTTACTAACTAAAATGTCAATATCAAATGAAGGAAGGATTAAATAGTGGTTGAAAATGAACTGCCACAAAATATTTTAAAGAATCTCAAAAGAGTTGTAAGGCAAGATTTTCCCTTCGTGAAACCATACTGACTATCCAATAAAATTCTAAGTTTTGTTAAATGACTATGCAAAGCATCTTTTATCAGACTTTCTAAAACTTTCCCACAGCTAATGTGAGACTAATGGGCTTATAATTACTGGAACGATTTTTATCACCTCCCTTAAAAGAGGAGTTAAATTAGCTAACTTCAAATCCTCTGGTACCAGCCCACTATTCAATGACTGACAAAAATAGTAGCAAGTGGCTCACATATCCAATCTTTAACCTACCTTCAAAACCCATGGGGAAATATTATTTGGCCCAGGAGCCTTATCGTTCTCTAAGCTTCCAATTTTTTCTTAACTAGCACAGAATTAATTCAGTCATCTTGTTCAATCTTGTTTCCATCTATCTATCCAAATATCAAAAAATCCATATGCAGCAAAACACTGAACATAATAGAGCAATGATCACATGCACTCAGATGTTCCGTAATTTCCACCCTCTCAATCATTTCTATATTTGAAGTTAACAATTAATCTAAAATAGAATTGTTTCTAGTAAATTCCTTGAAAAATTGATGAAGAATACCATGTTGAACAGTTTCCAAAAACCTTTCTCCCTCACGATTTGACTGTAGAATTTCCCAATCTATATGCCTGAAATTAAAATCACCCATAATTAACAGCTGAGATCATAATCACATTGTACAGTTTCTCACTAATTTTATCAGTATCATCTTGTGGTCTGTAACTTTGCATCAAATTCAACAAATAACAACACTTACTTGTATATGTAGATATACACTTCAATACAACTGTTGTTTAATTACAAGTTTTGTAAGGATATGTTACATGACACATGTAATAGATTTGTTTCTTGACTTATGTTATTGCAGAGACTATTACATAAATCCAAAAGTTTTTTGTTTTTTTTCACAAATTATATGTTCAAAAATTTTAAGATTATTTTTAAATGAATAAATTGTTACGTATCTGTTTGTTTGTTAATTTTTCGTAGAAATTTCAACATTACAAGTCCTTTCTTGATTAAAACTAGTTTATTCTTTCTCGATACAAACTTTCTAATACACTTAACAGCTTTTATAACACGCGCTATAAATCACACTGATTCACATACTTTACCTACAATGCCTACTGTTCGCTTGACTCAAATATCTATCTTTTCAATCTATCTATCTCTGCAATCACGCTGGTTTTATCGCCAGGCTTATATACTAAAAAGTTGGTGCCTCAAACAAGCTCGGGCCTTTCTGATAATTCATGATCCTTCGAGAAAATCCAGCGCACATGCTCCCAGCGTCACGCGACTTCCGCTGTCATAACGATATGAATACGTACAAGGTTTTAAGGCCAAATTTTGGTAGTATTTTTTAATTGTTGGAAAAGTTTATATAATGATAATTTTAGAAGACAGTAAGTTGACAATTTTTGGCATTATTCATTTGCACTAGCTTTTGTGTTTTCATATTTATTGCCAAAAAAAATGTATAATCTTAGTGTAGATTAATAAGTAAAATTATTCTATGAACTGTGAAATATAATGATAGTTAATGTAAGAGAATCTAGTAATAAACTATTCATTTAAAGTTCTTTTAAAAGTGTGCTCATATATTCATTATCAAACATACTCGTAACCTGAAAAGTTATGTTTAAGATCTACTTTTAATTAGTTATATTCTGAATGTTTCTTGTAGCAAAGGCTGTCACCAAAATTATGAACCAGAAAGACTTTTACATGTTGCAGAAGCATTACAGACTGACATGTATGGTGATTGGATACCCAATCCCACAGGTTAGCTGGTTATGGAAAATCTGCAGTGACCTGAATAATTGTGACCCTGGAAGCATCTATGGTTGGATAGCCGTTAATGTTTCTGACACAAGTTCTCTGCCAAATATCTATGATATAAAAAGAACTGTGGAAGATACAGACGTAATTATGTTACATTTAGATGTGGTTGCTAATGTATCTGGTTATTACAAATGCTTAGGAAGAAATTATCTTGGACAGGATAAATATATTTCTCGATTTATTGTATCTGGTAAGTTGTGTATAAATATACTGTATATTTGTGTGTTTTATTTTAGAGATTTACTGTCTATTTGTACTTTATTAATGTACCATTTGTAGCAATGACAGTTCTGTAAGATACCTTTTAAAAGAATAGGTTTTTCAGTAATAATTATATGTGAGTAATATTATATATATATCGTTATTAGTATAAATTAAAATTCAGAAGTCACTAGTTAAAAACATACCAACTCTATGTTGTATTTCATAATAAAGTTATTAAGTCTATTCACTATCTATCTTTTTTTTGCACCTTTTCATATTAATTTTATTTCTATAAATACTTAACTATTTATATCTGGTTCTGACACACTAGAAAGCTTAATACTGTGAACATGTACATGTGATGAATATCAATATAATATAACTATTTTAAAACTTTCTGTGAAGTAAAATCTGCAAAATAAAATGTATGTGTTTTAGATCCAAAGTGTTTAGATAGAACAAAAACATCAATGATGTTATCATATATAAAAATGATTGTAAGTAAATTGTATACTCATTATTATTATACCCACATAAAATATTTGAGTAAGTACATAACTAAATGTTTTTGATCTCACAAATACCTGGATTCTGAAGACAGTCTTCTAAATTCAAATGTTTAATGAATTTAGAATTTATTACCCCTTTTTGTTTCTGAATATTTTAGATTTGTTTAAAGACATTAAATACTTGTAATAAATATTATAAATAAAATATTATATATACATAAATAAAAAAATTACCTAAAGCTGTAGATCAAAATTTATGAACCTGCAAGGAAGTGAATTAATGAACAAAATTCATATTCATCAACTCACTTTTCAGTTGTATTTAAACACTGGAATACATTCTATTTATATATGTCTTTGCTTTTTAGTAGAAACTTTTATACTTGATATAGCATTTTTTCTTGCAAAGTGTATTTTGCTTAATATTTATTCAATTATATTAGATGCCAGAAATGGATTTGAAACTATAGCAGTACCATCCAAGCCTGTTGAAAAAGATGAAGTTAATCTTACTTGTCGTACTAACGTTTTCAAGTATACCAACTTAACTTGGATGTGGTACTCTATGTATGAAGATTCAAATGATTCTCTTCATATTACCAATCAAACAGGTTTGTCATGGGTTTAAAAAATTGGAATATGAAAGTTTAGCTCTTGGTTCTCAGCCAGCTATTTTCTGTGCATCTGCACTTTTAAATATAGTAAGCACTTTTGGTAGGTACTAGCTTCTCATGTTTGTGCCTTGCTATTAAGTTATGCATAGAAGGGAAATTAATTGATTTCATAATTTTAAATTTTAAAGCTATTAAATAGAAGTAATGTCACTATACAATGTATTTGTGAGTAATTTTTCATTAGTTTTATTCTTTCTACCAATGATTGAAACTGTTTTCATATTAAATTTTTAAACCTTGTCAAAACACCAGAAACATATATATTGTTACGACAGCGGAAATCACGTGACGCTAGTAACACGTCATGATATTCTCGAATGTTCGTGAATGCTCGAGTGTTTACTAGATGTGCGGTATTCTTGTATATAAGTGCGCCAAACAATGGAATTGAAGAGCAAACATAGATAAAGACGGACAATTGAGTCGAGCGCGGTAGTAGACGTGAATTGTTCGTTGTGATTTATAGTAAATTATAGCATTTCTTAAGTTACTAAAGTGACTGTGGAAATTAAGTGTATTGCAAAGTTGTACTGAGAAAGAATAAACTGGTTTTATTTAAGAAAGGACTTGTGTCGCTGAAGTTCTTCAGCAAGAATTTTGTGAGTAATTAACAAACGAACAGAGACGTAACAATATATATATATATATATATATACTCATTTTTGGTTCTGTTTCTTTTCAATGAATCTAATTTTTTGGATAAGACTATTATAAAAATTTGTGAGATATCTAATCCGAAGAAATAAAAATGATGAATTATATCCGTAATTTGTTGCATTACATTTTGTTTTTAATTGATATTTATATTCTATGTACACATGAAAGACCAACTACAAGCAGTTTTCAGTGTTGCTTATTTTTTTGGCCATTTCTACATCAATGAGATAGTAAGTAGACCTTAACATACTAGATGGTAACACATGACTATAAAATACAGATGCAAACACAGACTGCTTATCTAGATGAGAGTAAGGGTGTAGATTTAGTGTATCTGGATCTCCATAAAGTATTTGACAAGGTGCCACATAAAAGGCTTGTAAAAAAGTATCTTTATAGATGTTGGGGATAAGTTAGCAAATTGGATAGAAGAGTGGCTAGATGGAAGAAAGCAGAGGGTTGTTACAAATGGAGTTCA